AACTGCGCTACAAGTAACGATACCATGATACGTTTTATCGTTTTTCCCTTCTTTATCACAATTTTGGCTGATTTTCACTGTTTTGTTTGCTTTTATGACGGAAATAGGTTGATAGTAAAAATACTAGCTGTCCTGAGGGTTGTAAATATTATGTATACACTACAGATGATTGTAACACATGTCAAGATGTTATATCAACTTCTGCAGTTAGATATATAAGCCACCAAATCATTATATTGCAGGAAATAAATCATAATCATGAGGAAGAGGTATATATATGTGAAGACTTTACCGGAGACTAAGTTAACATAATTCCAATGTTCAAGCTGCCGGTATTTTTGCAAAGATAGCTAATAGCAGAAATAAGTACTATTATAAAGCGGTTACGAGAAATCATTGAATAGCACGATTCAACAATCAAGATATCTTGATCTCAGGTGACCAGATTATCTGAGATCGTATGTGATGATTTCCGAAAATCAACCAAGGCCTGTCTCGCTTAAGTGCTGATGCCGTAAATGACAATTACTTATACCTTACGTGGGACTAAAATTAAATAGGCATCAATAATCGCAGATTACATAGGACGATTCAAAGTAAGTTCACATAGTAGTCTTTATATATGTTCATCGTCTAAGTGTCCGAAGTGAAACCTGTCCAAAGAATTGAATAATACAAGCCATGTATGTTGCGATCCAAGCTTTCCTAAGCAACGCAAGAGATGAAGCAAATAAGCGTGATTGACTATCCAAAGAAAAAGTGTGCTAAATGCACTTCCGATCCGTGATTGAACACCGGTTTCTGTTTTTATACTACTTTCTGGTAAACATTTATACTGCAATAACTATTTCCTGTCTATCTTATTTCCAGCTGGCTTCGGAAGTGTTCATAGACCTAACGGGAACAATTCTTAAGAATTTGAAGTTATTTATTAATGGATTATTTGTGCTGGATCCATTTATAACGCATCAGTTTTTTAATTACGGCAATGCTTATCTGTCGTGACAGGTCGAAGTTCGAACGAATAGTATAGTACACCATGTCCAAGGTTGCAGTATTTGAAAAACGGTCTGTATGGCTAATCGCGTATGCGCCGAACTGGTAATTATTACACAATAACGCGAAACAGCATCCCTGTCTCACAGCCATATAAGACTGTACAGTACACTCTCCCAGCCGTTACTCCATAAGAATAAGTTAATGGCCATATAAACGAATTTATGTAAAACTGAAATGATTACAATATTAAAATTTCTTGTTATCAAGAAGCATAGCTATGGTCAGTGTTAACAATGGATTCTGACGATGTAGCTTCATCATTAGCACCGATTGAACTCATCACTTGTGCGCATGTCTTCCGATGCTTAGAGGCATGAACGGATGAGTTTACTTGCCAAACGTTCACTAAGAGCATGGACTGAGTGATAGTTGTTAGTGAACTTCTCTAGCAGTTCATCACTCCCTGTAGAGATTGACACGTTGTCCATCGCACGAAGAACCAAGTCCATTATGTATTTCCTTGTCCACCGGTTGCCATGTCGAAACAAGTCTACAAGGCTCATAGTGACAAAGGAACACACACTTACCTCCACGAACTAGATCTTTGGGATGCGCATACAGAATATGACCACAGGACAGGATGTGGTCATTGAAACGCTCACAAGTACATCGTGTACGTGAAGTATCAACAACATATATCATACCCTTGTCGTAGCACCGGATATATTTTCCTATAAACTCGTGTCTCATTGTCCTAACACGTTTATAATTTACAGCTAGAATTTTGGATGCAAAAGATGTGAACTCATTTAAAAGAGTTCAAAATGACATTGGAACCTGGAATTATTGATACATTTAACTATATTTCATACCTGAGAATTGGAAAACATTGAAGATCTTTTACAGCGTCATATGGACTCAAACTTAGGTCAGTGTCTGTTTTACTCCAAACTTTCCAGAACGTCAGTAGCAGAGCATCAACTCTTCTGAGACGTTCTTTTAGGTGTTTGGGAGCACTTTCGACACGGTTGTTTGTATGGTTGCCCAGGCTTAATACATGACCCCGGTAACAGCGAGCCCACACTGACTTCTGGGCAACCCAGTAATCTTTTATATAATCATGCACCCGGAAGAAATGGGTACTTAGATGTTCGTACTTCTGGGTAAATCTGAATATAATGCGTTATGAAAAGCGAAGCTCATATGTCAGACCGTCTAGTCTTCACAAGGTGTTACAAGCTTTTGCGTACATCAGGATTTTGGAACTACAGAAAATAATTTGTACAATTATCACATACCTTCCTGAACAATGCTCTTAGGACATGGAATGAACAAAGTACTATGTTAGAATGACTGTGAGTAGACTGCACTGCTGTAATTTCGGTCGCTGGCGAATCCGTAACGAAAGTGCGTGTATCATAAGTACCGCACATTATGTCATTTAAGCATTCAAAAAGTTTTACATCTTCATGTCGTTCTTGCCTGCAAATAGCATACATAACGGTATGCCCTTACCCAAGACTATCAGTCACCACTAGCTGGAACAGTGGAAAACTTTAAATTTATTACTATTCGTTACTTACCCAACTTTGTTAGTCTGATAAGTCGGATCAATACATTGTAGCGGTAAATAAATTCCCAAAATAAATAGCTCTGTAAGTTTTCAGCATCGAGTGCTGACCACATCAGTTTCAATGGACTCACCTAGCTGAAGAGGCTCGGTCGTGCATCCGCACCAGATCACGAGTGGGAACGAGGTGCTTAACAAACCCTGCAATCGCTAGTCAGATTAGATCAGACGATCCTCGATTTATTGATAGCCTATCAAATATATCTTCGAATTTCCTCGCTTCTGTCTTTGATTTCACTTGGTGGGTACGATTCATATTAAGTGTTACTGGTTAAAGCCTTGTAAAATTGAATACATGTGGCATCTTCACTTTTATTATTTTGCTCCCATTTAAGTATTCCCATGCATCTGCGTCTAGTTTAAAAGGAAGACATAAAAACAGAGTTAGTGTCTGATGAACTAAAAGTCCCAGTTGTCAAAAAGATTCTTAACATTTGTCCACAGCCAGCTGCATTTAATTGAGACACAGAACACTCATCTTCTAAGACTGTATATTGCTATTTTGCGGGCAAATAAAAGCTCGGACGCTTAGCAATCCTTCTACCGATGTTATTGCCGGGGAAATTGTTTGATAACAGTAATCTTGAAATATGATCAGTGATAGATGTACAGTTTAGAAATAAACACCAAACATACTTATCGCTATCTTATAATGTATGACAGCAACAGCATCAAAGGCACATTTTTCCCTATTTTTAATCAGAATGATCTGAATCCGTATACACATTAGAAACAGGCAACTCTACTTACTAAACTGATCTGTTTCGTTACAGGCTTCAAGCACTATACTTAAGTATATTATAATTATACGACAACCAAGAACACTAAACTAAGCAAGTGTCATAGTTATTGTTACACCTGCAAAGACATGTTCCTCAAAGTAGTTAAATGAACATAATTAAGCCGATAAAACCAAAACACGAAATATAGGCCAGTTGAACTTACCTAAGAAAAAAAAGAAGGATACATATAAACTGCTTTCAGGCTGAAGACAACAGGGAGTTGATCATAGAAACACAGTTTACAGTACAACAAACTTTTCTTCAGTAAAATCATGCACTGACAGTCTATCTGGAAACAATCAACTATGTGATTAAACTCACTGACTTGAGATATCATCCCAGCGTGCAATGGACGTACAGTGTAACGCAGTCGGACGTGTCGAATAAAAATTAAAAACAGAGCAAAATTGATTACATAATCTAGTTATTTAATTAGAAATACATTATGAAATGACAAAATCTGTGGTTACTTGAACGCACAGATGACCGATACATTCAAATCTAAGAATGTCTTGATTCGACCGCTTCCGAAAAACGTCATGGATTGTCAATGTGACGCACCAATCATCTCGCGACAGTTTGACCTTCAAGTGCTCGCAACCTCCATCAGTGGCCGAAACCTCTGAAGCGTTGGGTCGTCGGTATGTTATGCGTTGCATGCTTTTACCACATATACCAGTCGGTGTACAAGTATGTACCAAGATTTTAGTTAAACATTCCTTGTAAGGCTATACCACACTTATAGTTTGCAAATCACTAGCTTAGCAAACGTTTCATAATTGTTGCATGGTTAGGACCCTGATTTATCTCAATGTTAGCTAATCATTTTAAACTGAAATCTCGAGATGTGAGTGATCGTCCAAATTTGTCTGTAAGTAGCTGATTTCTCGTTAAGCCCAAAATGGTACATATGCGACCTCAGTTATCAGCAGCCTAAAAACTCGAAACATTCAGTCGTTTAGTTTTTGCCGTGTCATTTACCACGGTGATATCTCTGTGGTGAATTTCAGACAAATACTTTTCTGGAATTTATAGCCGTTAATGGCTAACCAAGTTTTTATCCTTCAGTCGTGCGAAAATGTCTAAGAATGAGAGTGAAAGCAATCGTAGATGGCAAGACATGTATGTGTATGTCACGTTGGTTGAGTTGTAAGCTCTTCAGACCAGCCCTCAAACAGTATCTTAGATCATAGTAACGACATTTCTAACTTGGTAGTCTGTCGAGAAGTAATAATCTTAAGTTATTTGATTGTTTTGTCAATTGCCTGAATTATTACTCCATGTATCTATGCGTAATTCTGGTCTCTACACTTTCGTACCAAATCCACTTAAATGAAGGCTAATATTACTGATTATTTATGGACAATATGGTGCGGAATTTCATTTCATGATCTCATGCTGTATTACGACTCAACCTGTAGGTGTAATTTAAATTAAACTGCTCGCTAAGGAATCTTGTTACTCGAAAAACACTTACCACTGTTTTATAGTTGTCGATAACTGTTGAAATTTGTACTTATGTTGCTATTTCGATTCTTCCTTGATCTGTAGTTGAGTCTGTACTACATATTACGTCGTGACGTTCGAAAATGTTACTTCAAGTTTTAATTAAAGGTGCTCTGCGATACAACCGATCTCCTGTGTCAAACTTATGTCGTCATTATGCAGCTCATGTACAGCGTCCGGCTCCTGACTTTTGTGGAACGGCAGTGGTGGATGGCCAATTTAAAGAAATAAAACTGAGAGATTATGCTGGCAAATACTTAGTCCTCTTTTTCTATCCTCTGGATTTTACTTTTGTTTGTCCAACTGAGTTAACGGCATTTTCTGATCGAATTGATGAGTTCAAAAATGAAGGAGTTGAAGTCGTTGGCGTTTCAACTGATTCACATTTCAGTCATCTCGCTTGGATAAATACTCCACGTAAGGTAGGACTATTTTGTTCTTGACTAGTAAATTTACCATAATTGATGAAATTACAAGCGGTTGGTGTGAGCTACTTTAATGAGTAATTCTAATACAGATTAATTCAAGCTGGACGTTGATTTACATTAGTTCTGATCATAGAATTAAGCTAGTTTAAAGTATTGTGAAAGATATTTGTATTAGTTTCTTATGTATTTCTTTTCACAACAGATTATTCTCTTGGGTTCTGAAGGATAGTATGTTCCTAAAACACAGTTCAGTCTTTCCATGCCTAGAATGTATTAACTTTCCGATTAATTCATGCAGTATATGATAAACAGTGATCACAATGTAAAGTTGTAAGTAATTCATCCTAAGGCTAAGACACTATATTCCAGCGATTCGTTTTCTGTACAGTTTGGGAGGACAGACCGACTCATGGTGATGACTCATGAATTCTATTCTGTGTAGAAAAAACTCAGGTTGTATGCGTGTTAAACTCGAATAGTGTTACACAAATGAGCTCATCTTCAGCAATCAGTTTTAGTTTGTGATATATCCCCGTTACTTGGTTTATTCAGTCAGTCAGAAACAACGTGGAACTTCGTACGTACGTACATCAGTTTATTCAGTGCATTCTTAACTAGATCTACAAATATCACCTACTGTAGGGTTTTCTAGGTTGTCATAATTCCTATCCATCCGTGATTTTTAAAACTGTCTTACTGTTTCTTTTAATCAGGAAGGTGGTTTAGGCTGTCTACGCTATCCACTCTTGGCAGACTATCAAAAACAAATTACGCGTGATTATGGGGTCCTTCAAGAAGAGTTAGGTGTTGCCCTTCGCGGCTTATTTATAATTAATCCTGATGGTATAGTCCGCCAGATTACTATTAACGATCTTCCTGTTGGAAGATCTGTTGACGAAGTTTTGAGATTGGTTAGAGCCTTCCAGTTTACAGATAAACATGGTGAAGGTAACTTTCTGGGATCATCTTTTCTTGGTTTATACACATTCATTTTATTTTATTATAGAGCTGAACCCAGTCAATAAAATTCGCTAGCTCAAAATAATTGGAAAGTGTAGTTTGAGAATTATTCAAAATATTTACATTCACAGTCCACTGATCTTCGAACCATCTTTGTTTAATCGTAAAAAGATCTCCCTTTGAAACCATCTAGTTACGATCAGGACTTGTATTTATTTTGACCTATCAATCTTTATATGTTCATGAACTAAATTATTAAGGAACATGAACAGTTCGATAATACAGATCGATCTAAAACTCACCCCCTGAATAAGAAAGATGGTTATCTTGTGTTTAACTCACTGTAGGTCGGTCATATTGTTAATTTGTATTAATGCAATCAGTATCTAGTCATTCACCGGTAGTTTTGTCGCAATTTAACATTTTTATTGGTATAACAATAGATACTAGCTTGTTCAGCAATACTATTCATAAGTGTTTCTGTTACTAATCGCGCTAAGCACAATATTATGAATTAATTTAAGTTAGGAATGTTAGTCACTGAATAGCGACTCAGTGGTCGCAAGACCTGAAAGTTCTGTAGTCGAGTACACTAATCTAGGTGCTATTTTGCATTTATGCATCTATATCTCAAGAGTTTGGAGATAGATGTGGTCCGTAAGGTCTCGAATTAATGGAGATCAGTCATTGAGGAGCTTCACTCTGTTACAATAATGCAGTAGTATTCACTCGTAATTTCAAGCCAATCGGTTACTATGTCATATGTATTCGTATTAGCGACCTTACGTATATCATTTTCTAAATAAACTTTCGCATTCCCATAAAGTACTGTTATCCTCCACTGATTGTTTCTTTTTTTATCTGCGATTACCCGTTTGTTTTAGTTTGCCCAGCAGGTTGGCAACCAAAAGGTCCAACAATAAAGCCAGATCTGAAAAAGTACAAGGAGTATTTTCAGAAGGTTAATTAAATGTATCATTGTTCCCTGTGAAGTCAAATTTAAACCTGATACAGACATGTATTAATACACGTTGGTTCATATTCAGAATATTATACATAGTACACTGGTATTCATTATGTAGCAACAGTGTTTATGAACTCATTTTCTGTTTTCTGCAATTTCCTTGATTATATCAAATACAAATATTAAGAAGCACCAGTTTTTAAATTTATGATACTGCACAGCAAATAAATATTTTAGCGTCATTCCATAAGACTGTTTGAAAAAGAAATATTGATGACGAAAAGGATGATCTTAAGTGAGTGAGATATTAAAATGTAACTGGAATTATCTCTGTCACAATAATTTCTTATGCATAAAATATCTTGTGGCACTGTTGAACCTTTAAAACTGTTGTGTGTTTTATAAGCAGAGATAGATGGTGGTTAGCAGTGAAATCTAGAAGGCAGGTTCCATCCTATTCGGGGCTCGTGAGCTGGATGTACTTGCATCCCAAAGTCGATGTTCACTCCAGGACTCGAACCCAGTACCATTCTCTTCAGACACCATCGCGTTATCCATATCGTTGTTGTATGTTTTGTATTATTTAGTTTATATACGATTAAGAGCAACTAAGGCTCGTTAGATAAAATGCCTCAGAATCGGTCACAATGGCACAAGTGTATTCACTTTTTTTTCCTCCCTTAGATCTTTAGTTTTAACATTGTCCTGTACTTTTCAGCCCTCGAAATAATTTTCATCAGATCATATTTATCAATGTCTAATCTTCTTTGGTATCGCTAATGCTGCTATCACTTCTTCTATGATTGGATTCTTGTCAGCAGTTTTATTTCAGTGTGCTGATATATCAGCATATATATATAGTATGTAAACTTGAACGGAATAATACTTTTGCCACGTTCCATGTTACTGATAACTCACAAACTGGGAAGTAAGGATATTGAGCAGAAAATAACTTTTATTAGGACAACATATATACGTGAACATTATTGTCTTCCGTTGGATCCTTATCAGGCTTTAATATACAGTATTTATTTTACTTATTTCAACACATAAATATTGGTACAAGAAGGCATCAAATATATATGCGCCACACCATACTTGTGTGTGTGTGGGCTGTAATACTGTTCGGGTGCCCAGACCGAAGCAGTTGGTTTTCTTAGGGGGCCACACCCCGAGCCTTAGACCTAAAGGTCTAATCCACAAGGCAGTGCAGCATCGTGAGGAGATACATTCCCATGGTAGCCGGTGACCAGCGATTGGTTCATACGCCATTTGTTCCTGCAGGATACTGGAGCCCATGTGCACCATTGGTTTGGGGTCCGGTTAGAGCGCCGGACATTCGCTTTTCGTCCTCTCATTTTCGTAAACAACACCCCCGCCACGAGAAGGCAGTGAGTAGGACTTCCCTGGCACAGGCTGTATCCGCGTGGCCGTGTGAGAGCATTTCGAGAGGGGGGCGGGCCCCATACATTTACTGAATTATTAAATCAATGAAGGCAGTTTATGAGTCAGTGAGGAAAGTGTGTAGTGGTTAATAAATCCCCATAATCAATAGTTCTGTAAGTCTTCGATCAGTACCTCTCGATATACTGATAACCTATCAAATATTTCTTCTGACTTTTTATGGGCAGGGTGGGCAGGATTCAATTATAGAAGATGTTATTGGTTAAAGTGTTGTCAAACTATAAATACTCGTGGCATCTTTACATCAGACACGATAATGAGTTAACTGAACAAGTAAATCTTAATTTAATACGCAGTAGTGTTAATGCGATTACTAGGTTAAAAGCTCAGAAGCTGAGAATGACTAGTAACAAGCCAATATCTGCCTTGTTGATTATATGATGCTTAGCATTACCTACAATTCTCCCATTTCAAAAAGTATAAATATCAGATGTGCAATAGGCGCGAAAATAAAAAAATAATTATTCACTGAATCGCACGTTTCACTGGTCAAGTGGGACGCTTTATTGATGTAAGATCCATTCTGAAGATTTTGTGTGTGAAAATCCCTCCATGTATACACTTGTAGTTTATTCTTATTGATTCCTTCAGTTTTACATTCTGTTAGTCTTTTTGATTTCATTTGAGATGGTAATGTTTTTATTTCATTGTAGTTTTTACTTTCGTTACGCTTTCACTGAGTTTCAGTATTTCTTCCCGAACTGCATTTACGTTGTTTTAGTTTATACTTAGTCTCAGCGGCAGCCGTATTGAATTGCTCCCCCTGTGATTGTGTTGCTTGCATTGACTGGAATTGTACATTTTTAATCGTGAATTGAAGCACTCTTCCGGAATTGGAAACACTCTGTGTTATAAAGCAACCAAATATTGTCTTTCGAACGAATCTGTACGTGATCTATCTAGAAAGGATAGAATAACATATATTTGGTGCTCTTACATCCTTTATCAACTTATTTATTTATTGTAATCTAGATTCCATTACAGATTGAACAATTATTGGTTGAATAAATGGTAGTAATATTTGTTTAGGTAATAATGTACATTTATATTTATGATGAAATCTAGAACCATCATTTACCGAATCACTTAATTTTGGTTTCAACTGGGCAAAAGCGTGTGTCTAAACTGCCTAGACAGTTATTCCCCAGTCGAAACCCTAGTTTCCATTCTAGAGTTGGTACACTTAAAAGTGCTCTGAAAAAATCAAAATGGGAGGGGACCGCCGAGGAGACCAAGAGAGGTCCCTGCTTATCTATCATTCTACATCGAACACTCAGACGATTAACGGAGTCTGCTCATCAGAAGCTTTACTTTGCTGAAAGATATAAGCACGATCTAAATAAATGTCAAAAAATCAAGGCTGAAGTATTCGTTCACTCCTTTATTTCGTATGGGGATTATATTCCATATTATTTCATATTGGATGTTGAAAAATTTGTGCGTTTGAGAAGATAGCCTCACACCCCAAATAGAGACCTCTTCACTACCAGTCTGGTTTCTTCTATCAGTGGAACGAGGGTTATCCACCGGTACGAACGACTATGGTGGCGTACATCCTACATGAATTGCTGGTCGGGTCGTGCAGAAGAAAGTATACTTTGCGAGATTTCAGTTGGCTCAGAAGTTCGAGTGCGTCATTCCAACCAAATGAAAGCAACTTTGATCACTAGTGACGAGACTCGGCATAGAATACCTCTTGATGTCCTACTGGAACTTGTGAAATCAAAACCCCTGTAACAGACAGGTCAGTCTCCGTTCAGGTAAGGAGTAACATCATTTACTTATTGTTTAGAGGGTAGACAAATCGAGATCACAGACCAGTCACGCGATTGCGGGTGGACCCTAGCACTAGATCCTACGAATCTGCTCAAAAGGAATATAGATTGGATTAAAGCATGTCCCGTGCAGGATTGAGTTGGGGTACTCTCATTGTCTAGAAAAACTTGATCAATGAGGACTGGCAGATACTTGGAGTAGATTGGAATTTCCTCATGTAAAAATGATTAGTAAACTAACATTTTTCTTATTGTGGTTCCTACTTCCATCAAACCTTGTTGTTTAGAGTGTAATTACGTTCCTGTGTTCTGTTTTAAGGACTTGTCGAATGAGGTAGTGTCCAAGAATACTAAGCAATAACAGTAGCTGGGTTGGAAACCATAACAACAACCCATTTCAACCAGCGTATTATGAGCATGCTGTAGTTTCTTGTTTGTAGTGTTACCTTAGCATATCTTTCAAGCTCTATTTGCTTGACATATAGATTTCACTTATAATGAATGTGTAAAACGCTTAGGAATTGTGTGTACTGGCTGGCTGAAGAACTATTCCTAAACGCATCTATATTGATAGAACCACGTTTCTTTCTGTTTAAGCAGACACTGGGGAAATATTGTTTGCTACCAAGTTCTTCCCTCGTAAATCCAATTGCTGAATGTTTTATGTGAAGTGTAACCGAGATTTCTTTTCTAGTTTTCTGATCAGTGATAATGAAACCATCATCAATGTAAAGGCAGTAGAAGTCAATCTTATCAACAACCTCTCTGAAAACAAGATGCAACATCTACAGTTATCATCTGTTTCCCATTAAAGTTTATGTGTTCCACCTTGGAAATGAAATTCTAAACGTCTTTAACACTTCCACTGACAACTAGTTTGTATAGGAGATCTAGGGTTTCGAACTAACTACTTTGCAGTTTTATGGTATGGTAAGTTATACGCATCTAGAACTGAACGAAGAGGAAGTTCTATAGCGACTCACGTGCAAATGAGTTTAGTCTCATCTAACGCAGTTAGGCCCTTTTGCTAACTCATTTAGCGGACAAAGTCATCCGCACTATAACAACTTATTGTACCCTTATTATTTTGTGCTTGTATGAAATACGTATGCTTGAATATTGCTTACGGCCTACGCATTTATTCACTCTGCTAGTCTTACTACTAACTGATTATTTGATTCGATTATTCATCCATTTCACATGCTATATATATGTCCATGTTATTCATACTCACTCACACACTCGTCTCGCTCTTGCTATGGCTCTCGCTCGCTTGCTTGCCTTTCGGCAAAACTCTTCTATGCTTGTTTAACGCATCTGTACATTTGGATATATGTGTGTGGTCTCGCAATAAACGTAATCAACACTTTGTATTTGCCTTCTGATTAATATACCGTTGGGACGTTATATAGAACGGTTATCAAGACGAACTGTATACGAAGTTTAAGGATTATATCGAATACCGACCACCACAGTTCTGACTTGTGGACTTTGGGTAAACCGTAGAGCTGTGGTGTGTATAATCCAACGGGTTTATGTGTATCTTGAATGACTGGAGTATTTATACCTTGATCCTTCAATTTTTAAACTAATTAGTCGGTAATTTCTGTTTTCACATTTATATCCCTAACCTTGTCGAGTTTTTGAAATCCAGTCGGATTATTCAAAATCAAGTTCATTTTATTAATGTAATTAGTTTTGTTCATTAGGAGGGGATTCTTTGGGTGAGTTTAGCTTCATTACTTTTAGGATGTGCTTCTCATGACCTTCGTTTGTGGGCAGGTGGCATCTAAAGATTCTACTTGCCCGTGGGAAATGCTTCAGGAGAATCACACTTTTGTACGGTCAACAGTACGACTTCACCGCCGCACTTTAAGTTAAGGTTCTTTAATTGACACTTCCTGCATTTTATAACTTAAAGGAACAAGTAATCCAGCCAGCATGACTCGATAAAGTCATAATTCTGGGAAATCTGACCACCATATCTGGGTGGCAGGTAAGGTTGGTGTGTGGTGATTTGAACGGAAGCACATATATGCCAAGTTCTACCTCGCTTATGAAAAACTGATGAGGGTGACCTCATCCTCCCATATGGCTGCCGCAAATCTCAAAGCATTTCGTACCAACAGACACCGGTTGCCAACTGAAGTCCATGTGCATCCGGTTGGGCCACATGATACTGGGTTAAAGCACAACAGCAAATTGGAGCTGACTATTCCATTTATGGACTGCAAAGACAATAGAAAAACGTAGAAAGGACAGGGACTACCAACTCGGAAAACCCCGTCTAGGTAGGTTACCTGTCCATTCACATTGGGCTCAAACAGATAAGCAGGATGCGGGAGTTCACTAGTTTCAAGTTGGAAGCATAAACTGCTTAAATATGAACACCGCGAGTTTATCGAATAAAATGGATGAACTTCGTGAACCTAGTAGTACTAATAATACTCATTTGATAGGAATATCTGAAACAAGGATATCTCAATTTACGGACCAAGAGTTAGCAATACCCCGGATGTTTTGGTTTCGCAGCGACGGGAATGAGGGTGGAGCAACCATGTACCTGAGATCTTGCTTGTAAGTACATCGAGTGCACGACCAAGAGGTTTTCAAACTTGGTGCATCTATATGGTGCTCAGTAAGATTGTCTACCACCCCGAGGTGTCTAGTTGGAGTCATTTACAGGAAGCTGACTGCTGACATCAAGTACGAAGTTCTGGAATTCACTGCCGGCTGAGTTAGTCCCATCGACTTCTCAAAAGTCCTTTAAGAGAAATCTTAACATACACTTTAGGACTCAAGACAGTATTTCACTATGATTTACCAAGTTTTTTCTTTTTACGCTTTTGTCGTTTATATACCTAGATACTTACCTGGAGGCATCGGTGATCCAGTACTACTAGATGCGGTGGCGCGTTAAGCTAAGGCTTCTTCTATTCCGTCCAGAACGATTTAAACTGACTGACTTAGCCGATTTAAACTGATAAAAATTTGAGTAATGTGTTTCACAAGACAAAACGATATTAACAAGTCACTGAGTATCACATTCGAAGGTCACATCTTCCAGCTAGTTAATCAAACCAACTCAAGGTGTTTGCCAAGATTCAGTTGAAACAAGCTGAATTTCAGGAATGAGACTTGACACTTATAAAACTTTACTTCGGATAAGAATCACCGGTTTCTTTGTTAGTATTCTATATTGATATGCCCCATCTTTCAGGTCCATTTGGGAACAGTCATTTGTGATAATATAAGATTAATGGGTAGATCCTAATGAACACGGCCGAAAAGACATTTCTCTAAGAAGATGATCAATGACTGAAATTCCTAATTGAAGCAATTGATGTTGCTTTCATCGAAAGTGTTTTTGGGATAGAAAGTGTTGTTTGGAAGAAGTCGACAGAAAGCCCTACCTAACCTAGGTTTCGTGTTATTGTGGACTCGTTAGTGTGTTGTGTCTGTAATCTAGATGGAATCGAGTGGAGTTTGAATGAACTGATGATTCATTCGTACTTGTTGAATGCTTGATTTCGAATTCTAAATACAGTAATAATTCAAATACTTCTAATTGTCACATTGGCGTCACGATGTAGCCTGTGGTGGAATTGTTGGATATACATTCAGATCTTGATGCTTTTGAGGATTACTTTGAAAGGTTCGAAATTTGGGCTATGACCAAGGAAGATGGTGAGGATGTTAATATTGTAGCACATTCTCTCACATTCATCAGAAAAGAAGCATATGGCTTATTAAAAACTCTGGCTTTACCGGAAAAGCCCATTTCGCTTTCTTATACAGCTCTCAAGGAACTACTACTAGACTACGTTAAGTATACAAATTTCGGTTGCGGTAAAGGGAGAATTCGTAAAATGATTCATGAGGATATAAAAAATTCCACTGCATTACGTCATCCCAGTCCAGTGCATACTGAAGGTTATGCAGATAATTCATTGGGGAGTTCCGATGCAGTTCACAAAAATTGGCACAAGTTTGGTCAATGCTTGTCCTGTGGCATGTTCCACTCTTTTAATCAATGTAAATTTCGTAACTCCAGGTGCTTTAAATGTGGTGATTTTGGACATATTCAGTCAGTTTGTAATACTACTGTTCATCTTGCTGCAACTAATATTAAGTCTTGTAATTCTGATTCTACTGAGTCGAGTATTCATAATGATCATTTATCTTTATCAACGATTTTAAGACAGTGTAGAGTCATATAGCAGTTCGGAGTTAAATGAAACTCAGAGTCCTTGTAAGACAACAGTTTCTAATCAATCAATTTATCAGAATTCTCATGTCATTGTACCAGGTATGACTTTTCCTAATGATTCACTTGTTTCTGATGAAATTTCTTGCAAATCTGAGGAAAATATGTTGAATAAACCTAGTCATGATAGAAAACCTGATGTAGTTTTGATGGACGCTGATTTTTCTAATGGTTCTTTACTCTGCAATGACATTCTCAATAAATTAGAGGAAACGATTCCAGAAGATTCAAATCTTGATGTTGTAGTGACTCACATTTATCACGAGAACACGACTGGCTTATTAAAAACAATTATTATTATAACCAACTGTACCAGTGCTTGTTTTAATTGGCTTTTGTTTAACTGTGCTAATGACAGCTATTTTGTGCTTCCATTCTTGTACTTACACACTTCGATTGTAACTTCGCGCGAATTCGGCTACTTTCTGTAACCAAGGTTGTATCCTGGCACGATCTCGGTATCCTCTCGATACCACGAGATCGCCAGGAAATATACACCTCGATTTGGTCCATTAATTGCCTTCTGATATTTGGCTTCTCGGGGATTTTATGGATCTATTTGGTTACGTCCAACCCTCGCCTTCTGATTCGCTTGGCACGTGTTTCTCTGTAGTGGTGTTCATAGTTAATCTCAACTCGACACCACGCTACAATGTCATACCAAATATTTCTTGTCCTCATAATGCATTTGTTTCTTGTGGGAAACTTGTTCAGTGCGAAGCACAAGTACTAAATGACCTCGATTTTGATTACAATTCGGATGATTCCATATCAACTGCTGTTTATCCTTATCAAAAAACACTTCTAATATTTACTATAACCAATGTGAGAAATATGTTTCAAATGAAGCCACATCATCCATAAATTGGGGATATGAAGATCCAACATGATTTCGTGGGGGGAGGGTAGAATAAAAGTTTATGGTTCAAATTTTAGGTTGCAGCGGTTTCAGTACACAACCGGCATGCTGATTACACAATCCCAGGAAGAAGGTGAGTCTGTTTATTTCGGTTGTTAATTCCAATACTAATGAGCACATTCTAGATAATACAGATTTTTTATCCAATACAACGTCGGACAGACACAGGATAAACTTAAGAAGACGTACAATCGATTACAGACACTCAGACTCGAATTTAAGCTGTGGCGGATGTGGTGTTTGAATGAACTGATGATTCCTTAGTACTTGTTGAATGCTTGATTTCGAACTCTAAATACAGTACATTCGTTTGTGGTTATCTAGTACTTCTTGATCCGATTTTGTTATTTCTGGGATTCTTAGTTCATACTATAATTCAAATACTTCCGATTATCACAAGTCGATGCTCTCTCGTATATTCGATCCTTTGTTACACAGCTTCGCAGCCAGAGACGTTATTATTGAGCTATTTGGGCCACGACTGACACCTTGTAGGACTGAGATGTTTTCACAAGTGACTGATTACCTTGTGGTAGCCGATATCATGAATAATGATTCTATTAGTTTGTAGCGCCTGGTCCTATGTCGAGCTCACATATCTTATTCTAGCATCCGGACAAGCTGGTTTATCCATTCTAATCAAACTATATTTTGACCATGTTAATTATTCGCTTATCAACCTGTAGCGTCGAGTCGAGGTTAACTATGAACACCGCCACAGAGAAACACGTGCCAAATGAATCAGAAGGCGTAACCAAATAGACCCATAAAATCTCCGAGAAGCCAAATACCAGAAGGCAATTAATGGACCAAGTCGATGTTTGTTTGCTGGCGATCTCGTGGCATCGAAAGGATACCGAGATCGTGCCAGGATACAACCTTGGTTACAGAAGGTAACCGAATTCGCGCGAAGTTACAATCAAAGTGTAAGTAAAAGAATGGAAGCACAAAATAGCTGTCATTAGCACATTAAAACAGTCACTGGTACAGTTGGTTATAATAATAGTAATTGTTTTTAATAAGCCAGTCGTGTTCTCGTGATAAACGTGAGTCACTACAGGAGCCCCCCGCTAGAAAGGGTTTACACTTTCGATAAATAGCGGTTTGAATCGTGGGACTGATCGGCTGACGAGCGATTGTAGGACGGAAGAATTGGCGAACAGGAAAGCGATCGTTGATCGTCGAGTTGCCAACGAAGCTCTTTTTCGGAGAACGGTACCAAGGGCGATGTGCTGTATTTGTTGCTTGAATTGGCATACTACACCAGAGTGGTTTGTATCCAGGATCTGAAGAGGGCGTTCGTAGAGGTGCGCACTAGAAACGCTGCAGACGTAGGACGAAACCACGTTGAGCCAAAAGACCAGAAGCGACCGTAACGATCAAGTTCGAGACCAAGCGTATGCCAAGCATTCGAAACCAATATATCGACTGAGTGCGTTGACAAGAGCGTGGGTGATCAGGCCAGCTTTCGCCAAAGTTGACTGAAGTCGACGGAACCAAACGGAGATGGTCAAAGGCGTGGGCTCAGGAAACAAAAAGAAAATCAAAAAAGAGAAGAGTGTAGCATGCGTGTAGTATAGGAATAATTCTACACCGTAATGGTTGTTGACTGTGCGACTATTCGCGGAAGTGTACGGGTAACCGTACTCGGCGACCGGAACGTGAGACGTCCGTCTCGATCGCGTCGCGTGAGCCTGCAATCTCATCCGAAGTCAAGGGCGGCGTGGTCTGCTGATCTGGACGTGAGACTGTCGTCTCATCCGTAGACGGTGCAGATGACGCGTGCTGTTGACTGGGACGTGAGAATGAAGTCTGTAATGTATCTAGCGTGGGACCTGAAGAAGATTTAAGGATCCCGCTTGTAGGTTTGATAGGTCTAGCATTGAATCTCAGGTTATCAGATAGGGCACTGTCATCGACGTGTGCTGGTTTGAGACGATCAATGCTGACGATCTCGACGCGGCCATATCGATCAACCTTGAAGGTCTTTTCGTGACGAGCGATCACGTGAAAAGGGCCTTCGTAAGGTTGTTGCAAAGGTTTGTGTACCGAATCTACTCGTATGAAAAAATGTGAACAGGTAGATAACTCTCGAGGGAGAGCGACCTGTCGATGTTGTATTCGAGTTGACACCGGAGACAGCGTTCGCATAAATGCAGACAGTCGATGGACGTAGCCTGATTTAGCGAAATTAGGTCTGCTCCGTGGTGTGAAGAATTCTCCGGGCAGACGCAATGTCGTGCCGTATACAAGTTCAGTGGCGGAACATTGGATATCTGGCTTTAAGCTCGTTCTCACCCCTAAAAGAACGAGCGGCAAGGTTTCGTGCCAGTTGCGGTTTTCGTGTGCTCGTAGAACACTTTTAAGTTGGCAGTGAAACCGTTCAACTTAACCATTTGGTGCTAGGTGGTAGACGGATATGCTTATGCGTATGCATTCCGTACCAAGCAGCCGGGTCAGCGAGGAGAATCGTTAATAGGGTAACATTTCTCGAATAAAGCGTGGAATTCATCGTCACGCGTATAAAAAGTAACAAGGATTCGGTACACGTACATGTGAGTCTATTATATTAATACTATTCTTATCGTTATCCGTCATGTCGAGTATATTATATATTAAAAAATATGAAAATATACGACAGACGTGGATAGATAAATCATAGACTCACCGAATTGGCTTCTTTGGAAGATTTGATCAGAGGATGAGGCGTGTTCAAAATATGGTTCACCAATTGTAGTCTGATTGGGTTTACCAATTGTGGCGTGGCGTCGAGTTGAGGTTAACTATGAACACCGCCACAGAGAAACACGTGCCAAGCGAATCAGAAGGCGAGGGTTGGACGTAACCAAATAGATCCATAAAATCCCCGAGAAGCCAAATATCAGAAGGCAATTAATGGACCAAATCGAGGTGTATATTTCCTGGCGATCTCGTGGTATCGAGAGGATACCGAGATCGTGCCAGGATACAACCTTGGTTACAGAAAGTAGCCGAATTCGCGCGAAGTTACAATCGAAGTGTGTAAGTACAAGAATGGAAGCACAAAATAGCTGTCATTAGCACAGTTAAACAAAAGCCAATTAAAACAAGCACTGGTACAGTTGGTTATAATAATAATTGTTTTTAATAAGCCAGTCGTGTTCTCGTGATAAACGTGAATCACTACAAACCTTTAATGGTTTTATATGACCGTATATGTGTGCACTTCTTATCTCATGCATCATATATCTGTAACTTATTTTTATCTGACTATAAATATTGATTAAAGCTTGATTAAATGAAGTTGATTTACACACCACCGCGCGTCATTTAGCTTCGCTTTCTTCTATTTGCTCGATCCCTCTCATTTCATGTCCAGATCGTTGAGTGTACAAAATATGTGTATTCATTATCCATTCTCGTATTCGAATTATTGAATTACGTTATTGACTAACGCGATTTTATTTGATTAAATATACGAGGATAGCCAACTTGTGTATTTCAATGACAATTAGAACAATCCAATTGGAGTCAGATTCATGGCCACTAAAAATTTAACTTGAATAAAATTTACGAATAAATAACAACGAAAATATGTTGAACAGATCGATAAAGAAACTACATATTTCATTTTGAGTCTGAAATGATTTGATGATTTACATTGGTTTTCAGGAGAACCAGACACCATCCGGACTTTCACGTAAAAACTCAAACAGTACAGCTCAACCCCGTTTAGAAGAGGAACCAGACACCGTACAGACTTTAACGCTACAATCTGAATAGTACAGCTCAATCCTGTGGTGCAACCACACAGGTACCAAGCACCCTGGTGGACCATTCGCACCATTCATATACACACTCACATCACATGTATAGTTATTCCGATCAATGATCGCGTGAATCAATTATGCACAGCACGAACAGGCCAAAGTTGACCTATTCCGCTTACACGACAGTCAAACTCGTTAATATTAGCCATGGCGGCATGCCTTACAATGTCTCAATGACAATGGCCCTCGGGAACACTG